ATGGAGAGAGAGAGAGAGAGAGAGAGAGAGAGAGAGAGAGAGAGAGAATCTTCTGTTCTCCCTCTGATTCTTATAATGAGATGGCAGGGACTGAACTAAATAAATGAAATGTAGGAATCCCCTACTACTAAATTTAACCACTACCCTTGCAATATGTGTATTATCTTGCAACTCACCACTGGTAACAGGGAAATTGGGGGAGAAATGGGATCTTGTTTTAGACTAAAAATAAAGGTAACATTTTCAAAACAAAGAGAGAATGTCAGAATACTGTTTTTGAATAATCCTGGAACATGCAGTCTGTTTACAGAATTCAAGAAGAGTCCTTGCCAGATCAAGACAAGGACTTATTAGTTCAACATCTTCTTTCCAGGACAGGTGTACAACTTAGGATAATACTGCGGTGTGTAGTTAAGCCTTTATATTGTTGGGGGGGGGGGGGAATCACACAGTGAAATAGAAGCCTTTATTACTTATTACCTCCAACAGGAGTTACTCTTTAACTCCTGGGTTATACATGCGCATCACTAGTCCTGGTGTGGAATGTGCTTCAGTTGCTTTAAAGAGCAGGTTAGAGTGAAAGGACAATAAAAACCTGTCTAGGGAAGATCATAAGAGGAAGCTGGTCTATGCTTAGACATAGGGGACACTAGTTCAGTAAGAGGAGCATTTTGCCCACTACTTCTGTGTAATTTGCACCCCCGAAAAATCGTTGAACATACAAGAAATAAATAAGCAGTCTATTAAAGGGGGGGTTTGCTGGTAGGTTCCAAAAGCATAAGAGGAATGTGGGGGTGGTGGGAAGAAACGAATTCCACTTCTTTCCTGGGAAAAGCTGGTGCTCTACTGACACGTATGAACTAATAAACAAGCTACGGTCTGCTCAGTCTTCCCTCACGCTTCGGGATTTCTTCTTTTCTCTGATTCCAACACGGAATTAAGTTTCAAAAAGCCTGGCTGCCGCCTCTTGCTTCGGCCAGAGCTGCTCCATTGCCTGCCTCGTCGTGCCCGTCGCTGGGCGACTGAGCCGAACGTTTCCTCCGCAGTTCGTGGTGGGGGCGGGCCGGTCTTTTGGCGCGCAAAAGTGGCGGGAAACGCGGGCCGCGGCTGGAGCTTCCTTGGCCAACCAGAGCTTATGTCAGCGCCTGAGGCGATCCCCTATAGACACTGACCTGAGAGTATGTCCCATAAAACTCAGTGGGGTTTACTTCTGAGGAGACAGACATAGCTTTGAATAGGGCTGGGGAACAAGGGAGAACTCTGGTCAGGGCAGCGTCCTTTCTTGACCTGATCTTTTTAATCCGCCTTTGATCAAATGTGGTCTAATAGTCTAAGCTGACCCACACAGAACAACCCCACCCTTATGTCATTAACTGAGTGAGAAGAGAGGGCAAAATGCACTTTCTTTATTCGTGTCAGAAGCATCACAATAGACTATTAGGCCACATTTGATCAAGGGTGGATTAAAAAGATAAGGTCAAGATTATACAAACCCCCAGTTTTGCCACCACATACCACAAATGTGTATGGTAGATTTATAGGCATGTAACAGAGATATTCATCAGGTCAAGATATTAATTAAAATATATGTGAGTCCAGGAGATCACTCACTTGTGACCCCTTATGTGCTTAACAAGTGAAGCTGAGCTTATTTGTTAATTGTAAATAATGTAAGTATTTTGCTTAAAGCACTGTATCTGGTGAAACCTCCATTAACCTCCCCTTGCTCTTTCCAAAATTACATGGCATACCATCTGCAAAAAAGGTCATTATATAAAGTTTAAATTCTATCTTTGAAGAGTGCCTTATTTCATTACCCACCTTGCCCCCCCCCATACATACATACATATATTAAGTAGTAATTTGGATTCTTTTCTTTATGACTCCAGCTCTTAGCTGTGGGTTTTCCTACCATTTCCCACACCATGTATATTAAACAGCCAGAGAACATTGGACGGTTTCTTCAAAGTGACCTGAGACTTCAAATAATTTTGTTGCATGGCGTCAAAATTGCTAAGTGTTAGCGTGTGTCCCCTTCTCTCGCTCTCTTTTAAAATTTATTTTAAACCTTCTCAATTGGTTTTCTATAATTACCCCTCTGTGTAAATGTCCCTGCAACCATTTGGAAACCAGGATGAGGGAAGAGGAGAAGAAAAGGGAGTCTAAAACTGCGCAGCAGCCTCTTGCTCAGACAATGTAGCTCGAGATTTTTATGAGGAAAGATGCACAGAACTGAGCCTACGTGCTACTCAAGAGAAAGTTTACGAACCCCGCTGCATCGTCCTGGCTCCCGTTATCTGTGGAAAGACCGTATGCCCAGCTGTGCTCCCTCAGGAGGGGAGGGTCTTGGGGGCAATTCAGGGGCTTCTGAGACCTGGTAAATCTGGGTGATGCGCCACATCGTTCGCAGCTCGAAGTGCCTTGAAATTCCGCCATTCGCTCCGGTCACCGACTTTGTCTCTGCTCCCGCCCGCCTCGTGGGCGCCTTTGTCCTCCCACGATCGGGCGCCTCTTGTGAGTACCAAAGTTCCTTCCTGCAACTTGTTACACTCGCCTGAACGTGTCGTTCTACTCCGGATCATTGAAGCGCTCAGCTTGCGCTGACCCTCTGCTTTTAATGGAATAAGTAAAGCATTAATCTTTTCGCTGCCCCCTCCCCCGCGCCCTGATTCCTTTCGACCTGTCCGTGCACAAAGTCGGGTGCAGCTCCGGGTTAGGGCAAGCCCGAGCAAAAACAAAAGCCAGCGGGGAGAAGGAAGCGGAATCCTTCGCAGGGCGAGACGTCTAGCTAGATGGGCAGGCCGACGGGAGAAAGAGGGGCAGGTGCACGGACCCCGCCACCGCGAGAGGCTTCGCTTCTCGGCTCCCGGTGATTTAAACTTAGTTCCGTTCTCCTTGATACCGGGAGTGTATTTTACCCCCTTGTCTTTGGTCGGATACAGAAGGTGAATCATGAAATCCTTTTGCTAATAGTTTATGAGCCATGAGATTGGAAATGTATATGGATAGACCAGAGCGCCAGACTAAAACCACTTGAGAGCCTCTCTGAGCCTGCGAGAAGCGGCGATTTAATATCCCAGCGCGGAGCAGAGGGCGCAGGAGGCTCGGGCGGCTCCCGGCCCTTCGCGCCGAGCAGCAGCCGCGCTGCAGGGTCGCAGCAGAGCGCGGAGGGTCCCTCGCCAGGCAAACAGCGCCGGGTTAAGGAGCCCATGAGACGCACGAGATGGGCTGTGTGCTTGCGGGCATTTTGTCGCCTAGAATCCAAGTGGGCAAACTAGCAACGTGCCTACTGATGTCTCCAGGCACTTATGGAAAGGATGCCCCCTGCATCCTTGCTCACGTATGCACAAGAGACATTGTGTACACACGGGCAATACACAGTCTCTGCATAGGAGTGCAATGGAAAGTGCCTGTATTTCATATCATAGACTAGTAGAGTTGCAAGGGCCATGAAGGCCATCGGGTCCGACTCCCTGCTTGGAGACCTGCAAATATGGACAAGGTCTCGATGGACAGATACCCAGTGATATGCAGCCACTTTAAGACACGTTGAACCAAAAGAAGCAAGGAGTTATACAAGGGGTTTTGAAGACTCAGGAAACAGGCTACAGCCACCTGCTTTGGTGCTGCTGGAGCAAACTCGGAGGGAACTTAGGGAAAAGATATAAAGACGTCCGAGAGGGGAGAGCGAGCAGGAAATGACAAGAGGAAGAGGGGAAAATGCAGGTAACTGAAAATGAGAACATAGAAAAGTGACCAAGGAAGAACTGGGGGTGGGGGAGGGCTGGAAGAACTGGGAAGGGATGAAAGGTGAATGAAAGAAGCTGATAATGCAGAGCCAAAGGAGAACTATTTCAGCCAAAGTCGTCTCCTCCCGCCCCATTTCTTCTAGTTTCAGTGGGGGACTTCGGGGTCTCAGACAGGCTCGTTTTGACTGAGCTTCAGAAACCCCGCAGTACAGGCGAGGACATTTCCTAGAGTCAGTGCCACATGATGCCTGATGGCATCACACACACACACCCTCCCCGCCACTGCCAAACGCAAACACTCATCAGCTCCACTCAGTGCGCGCAGAGGGATGAAAACCTCCATGGAGCGAACTGGCAACATCTGTCCGGAAAATTCTCAGAGGCGCAGATGCATTTCTTTAGACAGGTCAGCACTTCCTACCCGGGCTGCGGTGACAGCTACCTGTCGGGGGAGGAGGAACCCCCTTTCAGAGCTCCAGGCTCGGGATCCTTAGCAGCGGCAGCTTTGCCTCTGACAGGGAGCCAGTCTCTCAAGCTCTAAGAAATCAATGGCCCCCAGAGGCGAGCCACGGGCCGCCGTGACGAGGGGAAGCCCTCCACATGCCAATACTGTTAACAAAAGTAAACGAAGAAGGGAGGAAAGGGGAACTGGAGTTCCATTCATAGGACCCCCACTCTCTCTCTAATAGGCTTGTTAATTAGGATACTAGGTTGTATGGGCAAACACTGGACTTGTGTGGTCCATCTGTTTATATAGTAGAAAGATACTGGCCAGTTATTTCTCTAGCTACGTTAACTGTGGGGTGAGTGGCAGCAAGTGCCCTAAGTTCTATCAGTGGGGATTGTTTTTATATAGGAAGACGAAAATTGAAGTGTCTGTGGATAGAATATCTTAAGTTACCTTTAGCTGTCTTAGAACCATTTATTTTGCAAAATGCTTTTTAGTAATCTATCATCCTGTCTTCTACCTTTCTTGGCGGACTTAAATGTCTGTGTCTAACGCTGGCTGATTTAAAAATCCCTCGCTGATCATTCCATATGTACACGCATACAGCCTCTTTGTGTGCCACCCCACCCACCTCACCTCTACTCCATTATCATTAACATGCCCCATTAATAACTTTTGCATAGATTACAGCCACTGATAGCACAGAGAAGCTAATGCAATGTATACTACTGTCTTAACAACATTCAATAAACACATGCATAATCACCGCCAAACCCGAATCCTTTACTATAATACATCCATAGTTTTCTGCCCTAGCAATTGCCTGGGGGGGGGGTTAATCTTCCAAAGAGAAAGGGGGGCTCCCTGCGCAAAATTACGCCTTCTCCTCTCATTTGTTAGCTGATTCCATCAAAAAGTTCGCTATTTATAGGCTACACACATGAACCTGGAGTAGTACAAACCCTCCCGTGTTTGTTCCCTTTTGCAAAGTGACCGGTTCTACAGCTTTTGATCGCTTTGCTGCGGGAGCTGCGGAGAGCACGAGCTACGATCAAAAACAGGCTGAGAGAAGACCTCCAGCTGCTGAGAGTCGGTGTAACCTGCTTTCTATACAGCCATGTGAGTACCTCACCACGAGATTCCTTCTTCTTCTTCTTCTTTATAATATATGGCGTGTATTCTTGGCAAGGAGAAAGCTGTTATGAAAGGGAGGAGGGGAACACAGAAAGTAAGAGTTGAAGACGAAAGAGACCACGAGGGGAAAGAGGAAAAGCTTTCTAAGCGAATGACTGGTCTCCTGAGCCCAAATCGGCTGACTGTTTGCAGCAAAATGATCAGATGTCGCTTCGTTTCACTTCTCCTGATAGTGACATTTAGGCATACTCCCTAAAGTTGGACAATATTGGATAGATCTTGTATGAATGAAAGCCCAAGAAGAGGGATTCCGCAAGCAGAAGTGAATGCAGGGACAGGTCCCTCCTAAAGTCGACTGGAAGCAGATCGCATACTCGCCAAGGGAAGCCGGGTCCACTCTATTGTGGAATGGGGACAGAGGGCCCTAGAGAACCTATAGAAGAGTGGGAAGGGAACTTTAGCCAATATCTCTCCAAGCATCTTAGCGTTCCTTCCTATAAGCTTTTCCTGCTCCTTGTAGTAAAAGCACACTTGCATCTCGCCAAATCATTAAATTGCAGGTTGCGCGCGAGGCAGAGACTGGAGACTGAGAAATGCAAATCTGCCTGAGCAGGAAATGGGGCTTTTACTGAGCAAGCATGTTGCTTACAAGGGGTGCAATCAGTTGCCAGAAAATCCTCTTCTGGGGAGCAGGGTGTGTGGCGATGGTTTTCTGCACTTGCACGACCCGGGCTCCCGTCCCTCTTTAGCGTGGCATGAAATTAACAAAGGCGGAGGAGGCTTCGTGCCCGGGGTGTCACCTCTATTCATAAAGGAGAGGGACAGGAGGAGCGAGAAAGCTAAAGAGCGCCGGTGAGTGGCTGCGCGTGCTTCTCGCCTCTGCACGCACAGTTCAGGCACAGAGCGGAGGAGAGCTCGCCTGGGCTCGCTTCTCCTGGTACCAGGCTCCCGGGATGGATGGGTGGCATTTGGCAAGCCGGAGGGTTTGCCATGCCTAGGCGCATAGCTGAGGGGCCAGCGCAGTCCTAGAAAATAGCAGCAGCAACTTGCAGGGGCTCCGCTCGAACTCTGCTGCCTCATGTGGAAAAAGTGACTTCGATCCAGGGCCATTTATAGGCGACAGTAAAGCCTCCTTTTCAGTGCGCGGCAGCCAGCGACAGCAGAGCGAGCGAGCGAGGGAGCGAGCTGCCTTCCAGCTCTGTCCCTCCGAAACCCTGATCTGACCTCGCTCGGTTGGGGAAGACGGAAGCCTGCTTTCTGCTGACCCGTTGAATTGGCTGTGGCAGGCCAGGGCACGTAGTCAGAAGAAACTTTTCTCCACCTGCCTTTTAGGTCGCACATACTTGCCTGGTGAAAGTTGGCCAGGAAATGTAGTAGTTCCCATAACCAGGTATATGGCAATCTATTTTTGTTTTTATTAAAGGATTTACCCTAATCTTTCTTTTGGGTCATCCCTGCATATTTGAAGTAGTGTCCTGTACTCACTGCCCTAGAAATAAACAGAAAGGGCCATTGCTTTGCATTTTCCTTTCATCAAATTGTACACCCTGATGAATGATTTTTTCAATATCTTGAACACATATCAGGATGAATTAAATAAACTGCTTGAAACACAAAGTCCTACACTGTTTCTCATCTCCCCATTCTTTTGAACTTCATTTCCATCACTTTCTCCCTCTGTTTTCATACAAAAAATTAAGGGATATAGAAAGAATAGGGCTGCAGAGGAGGAGACATTATTGTGTGTGGTAGGATGTCGTTCATTTACAGTTGAAAAAGTTAAATTTGAGATTAGCCCCACTATAAAGTATCCATTCCCACAATCTTCAAATGCTCCTTAACTGTAAATTAAAAAACAACTCCCTTCCCAACATCCCCCACAAATCAACTATAGTCACTGACCACAATGAAACAATCTCTAATCAGGTGTTGCAGGACCTGAGAGGACAGGAGTTATTTGCACTGTAATCATTGTAGTAGATTGTACTGTTCAGTTTCAGTACATTTTGCCTATTTTGTTTGAAGATGAGCACAGTGTTGATCCAGAACTTTTTGAAACATGTCTGGAAGTTTGTTTGACTTGTTAAAAGTTTTGTCTTAGATATGTAGTTGTTTTTGAAAACTGTAAGTGTTCCTTTCTCACTAATGAAACATATTGAAGGCATCAGTATTACTTTTATGGTCTAAACATTAAAGCAACTATATTGTTCCAAACTGATCAATCCCATTCTTTATGGGAAGAGAGCCTATACAATATAATAGAACCCCCTTTGATTCAAATTGCCAGAGTTCACCTGCACAACATGTTGGCTATTACTTCTAATGTTAGGACAATGTACACCACCATTTGTACAAACAGATTCCTAGATTTTGGTAAAGAACAAGCTGTTAGGTTAACATATAGCATAAAAGGTATGGAATATCCTTGGAAAACATAACTGACCATGGTTTGAGGGCTGCAAGAAATGGGAAGGAATATATTAATTGAGCCTTATACTGATTGTCCTTCCACATGGGCAGCCCTGTGAACTGTAAGGAGATATTTTGTGCCCTGTGTTTCTAAAAAGATTTATAATATTTTTAATGAGACTTCAAGTTTGTTTCTTGTTAGCTTTGTAAAATATTTTAATTGTAAAGTCTGTACTTATAGAAGATAATACCCATGACCTTTTTTGCTTCATTCATTATTATTTGTTAGTAGTTTATTTGAATGATTCTCATCTACAACATATTGAACCCAACTTCTCTTTTGTTATTTAAACTGATGGCCCCTAGGTGGTTCAAAGCTACTGGAACAATCATGATGTTCCAAAATACAAACACACAAATCAATAAGAAGTATATTCAAAAATTTCATTGTGCTGGTTCATATAACAGTATTTTCTCATCTCTTCATTATTCATCAATCATTTCAACTGAATGTGTGGGCTGTTTCTTGAAAAGTATTATGTTTAGAGCAATATCTGGTGATAAGAAACCTCTGTGATAACACAAGTATGTCTTAATTTCAACTTATAGTGATCAAGCAATGAGAAATATTTGTGTTGAAATCAACCAGCAATTACTTATAGTAATACGATCAGTGAACTGTTCTGCCTTAATATTCAAGAACTCTTAGTTGTACTGGGGAACCCTGGTTCAGCAGATCAGAAGAATCTATTCCATATATTGCCAGTGTTTCCCCAAACTCATTCCAGTTGCCCTTCCTGAGCTTTACCAAAATCTCATTGTAGGATTTTGCCGTATTTTAAAAATCTTTCTCAAACTACTCTTTATCTCCAGAATTGCCTTGAAACAGTCACTTACTCCAACTCTTTCATGTGTTCTTCCTCCCAGCAATATCCTAATTCCAATTGCTCCCAACCTCTCATATGGACATATTTGGATGTATGAAGCTGCTTTGTACTGAGTCAAGTCATTGGTCCATCTAGACCAGGCAGTGGTCTCTAGTAGCAGATGTTCACATCATGTACCAACTGATCATTTAACTGGAGATGCCACACATGTATTTTGTGCCTTCTCCTTTCATGCATGTATTCAATAACTAAGTTATGATAGCCGTATCACACTTTATCACACTTAAATGGTAATCCTTTTTCCAGTTCATGCTATGTATCTTCCAGCTCTCCTCAAAAGCTTTCCTTCCAGCCAGCCTCAAAACTTCTGAATTTTCATTCATGCCCTAAGATGGCATGACAAAATATTTCAAAGTAGAATGTTTTAATTCAGATTCTTCATGAAGAAGAAACTGACATTTTGCAAGATTTTAGTAATGTACATACAGTAATTGGTAATTTAGTAATTCACACATAGTTTGGGTATATTAGGGGTGTGGTATTTGGGTTCCCTTTGCACAGGATTTGAAATTTAGGTGCAAATAATAAAGTCCTCCTCTGTAGGCAGCTCTGAAGTGATATAGGGAATAGCTGGAAAGAAGGCCAACCCCATTAGGTCGTTATCACCCAAAATACTTATAGATCTGTAATCTGAATCCTACAAATGGTAAGTTCTGGATGTAAAACCCACGTTTATTAAAACTGTATATAAATTCTTATTTAGTAAAAGAGCATAAAATAAGAGGGTAAGTGCTTTTTGAGTGAGGGAAGAAAATGGCGTGAAAGAGAAAAAGGTAAATTGTGGAAAGCTGACCATTACTTTGTCCTCTGTGTCAGGGAGAAAAAAAACCTGGGAGATCTTCTATTAGGGAGATCTTCTATCCACTTTGTCCAAACTGGTGATCAAAATGTTTTTCCCTACAGAAAACTTTTGGCTGTAGTTACTTGGCCTTGATCCTACTTGAGCACAGATTCAGAGTCAAGTTTTGTTTTTGTTTTGTCTTTTCCTGAAGAAGTCACGATTTCTTTCTGGTGTTGCTGTTCACATTCTTAATATGGCCATAATGTGTGCTACATTCCTTGGATTTTATCCTTCCTTTGCATCTAATTCATCTCTATGTATAAATGGTGCCTACCACAAATATCTGGACTAAGATATTTCAAACAATTAAAATTGTAGTCAAGATTAGAAGGAAACCGGACATAAATCACAAATATCTGAATGTATTGTCCACTTTTAAATTTAACTGGATGAAATTCTTATTTAACTGGACCTAATCCTATAGAACAGGTTAGTATTTTTATTATTCAGTGGCCAAAGCCATATCCCAAAGAACTCCCAATATGGAAGAAAGAGAAAGAAAAAACATATGAAAAGAAGCAAAATCCTTTTACTAAATTGTATGCTGAGTCCAAATGATTACTATCAATGACTATATAAAAATTATGGCCAAGTTTTCATTAAGTACAAAAATATATGCTTATCTCTGATCAAGGAAAAAACAACATCATCCAAATTCTAAATCTTCCTCCAAATTGGGTTAAAAAGTTGAAGCATGCATGTACACATGTACAAACACATGTGCATACCATTCCTGTGCACATGTTTTTTCCAAGACTGAATACTCAGAATCATACTTCATATTTTAAATTACTTTTAAGTTGCAGTCCTGTACAAGTACTTCTAAGTAACTGCATACAGAACTACAGGCTTAAAATGGATCTGGTTTATGAATGGGGTAAAAACAAAGCTAATTGTCAATGCCTTTTTCTGTCATTATAAGACAAACCTTTACATATACTTTGATATATTTGATGTGCTTATTCCTGTAAACTACTTGGAATTAGGACTGGAGTAACAGGATAATATAGTAACAAAAACTACAGAGTTAGTCCTTTTTAAAAAGTGTATATGGGATTGGGGACTGAGACATGCCATTGCTTCAGTCAAGGCACACTATAAGCTCAGTAGTTTACAAGAGGGAGTCCGATTGTAAAATAAATTAAGGGATTAATTAAAAGAAATAACTGAGGTGAGATGGTAGAAAGAACTAGAAAGAAGACAAAAAGGAGAAATAAACATCTAAGGACAAAATTCTGTGTGTGTTTACACAATAAAAAGTTCTGCAACTCTCACTATGTCTTAGCAACCACTTTTTTTGGTTCGAGAAAGCATAAGATTCCTCCTAAAAAAGTCAGAACAAGAAATAGTGAGGAAAAGAAAGATAGAAAAGGAGGGAGGCAGAGCAAAAGACTGTAAACTGTGAGAAGAAAAGGCATGACTTTTCTTGATATAAAGGTGATATAAACAATTTAATTCAAAGGTGTTGTAAACAATCTAATTCAAAGTCTTCTTTTCCAATGACTTTCCAGTTCTAGTTTAAGTGTGGCATGCTGGGGGCTCAGGCAGACTTTCTGTGATGAAGTTTTAGAAGCCCTACTATATAGAAGAAAACATTTTCCAGAGAGTTGATGTCACATGAGGTCTGATGGTATCACACAGACATACTTCCCTGATGCTGCCAAACTTAGTCATCAGCTCCCTTCACAGTGTGTGCAAAGGGATGAAAGGCTCCATGGAGCAAACTGGCAACATCTGACTGGGATTTTTTCAAAGATAAAGATGCATTTCTTTAGACAGATCAACACTTCCTACCCAGGCAGTACTAAAAGCTACCTGTCAATGGGAAGAGGAACCTTTTCAGAGCTCCAACCTGAGAATCCTTAGCAGCTGCAGCTTTGCCTCTGATAGGGAGCCAGTCTCTCAAGCTCTAGGAAACCAATGTCCCCTCTTGCCACTTGTGCAGAAGTGGAAGATCTTCCCTGTCCAGCCAATAGTATAAGGTTTGTTAACAAAAGGGGTAGTAGAAAGTCCACCCTTGGGAAATATTAGGGGCATTGTACTTCCAGGATCTCTAATAATCCATGATACTAGACTATATAGGCAATAATTATATGATACTAGACTATATAGGCAATAATTATATGATACTAGACTATATAGAGAAAGTCTGCATGCTTTCCTAGTGTCAAAATATTAGCCAATCTTTACGCAGGGATAGGCAAACTGGTGCTCTCCAGATGCTTTGAACTACAATTCCAGTCAGCTCTAGTTAGTATGGCCAATGGCCAAGCTTATAGAAGTCCAAAAGCATCTGGAGGACAGAGGACTGCCTATCTCTGCTCTAGCACCTTGTTGCCCTCTTCAGCTGAGTGGCAGCAAATGAGTCATGCATAATGGATCCTCATGATTCTTGTGTTCACAGTCACAACAGTCCTGTGAGATAGGTTTCTATCAATCCCATTTTACAAATGAGAAAATGATTGACAGATGAAGATCTCCCCATGCCTGTCAATGAGTTCATGACCGGTAAAGAATTTTGGTACATGTTTTTATAGTCCAAGTCTAAGTAACTACAGAACTAGCACCTGGAAGATCCACCCATCTCTTTTTACAATTCCCCTTCTCACCTGTCATTCTGGATATATAGGCAATTTGCAGAAGTCAATTTTTGTGGATACTTACTCAACAAGCCCATGGTATTTTTAAAATTTTGCCAGTCTACAGAAATCAGCAGACAGAATGCCACTAGCCTAGCAAAAAATTATATGTTCCCCCCACCTCGAGCCCCTGTCTTTACTCTGTCTCAGCAGCTGCAGCTGAACTCCTTTAATTCTTTTCTAATTCTGCTTTAAAGAGGCACCAGTCCTTCTAAGGTAAGACACTCTTGGCTTTCCATCCAGCCTAACTTAGAAAACTCTTCCAGTCTAAATGAGAAATGTATTCATTCCATTCTTGAGGACTGACATGAAAGAGAAAACTGTGTGGGATACCTCTATTGTGATTATCTTAGAAAAGCAGGAAGTAGGTTTGGATAAAGACATTGGGCATACTGGATAAGTATGGTGCCCTGTAAGCAGAGTCTTTATATCGCTCCCAGTTAGACAAGATCAGTAAAGACAAAAGTTGCATTAAGACATTTATCAGGCTGAAAGACAGTATCCATAGAAGTTGGAAGAAGAAGTTTGGATGGATTTTAAAAACCAGAGATTCTAGTTTTAAAAAAACAGACTTTGCAGAGACAAGAACTACATGTTTAGGTGAGAATTTCTGGGTGGAGGAGAGTTGTGGCTGAACTCCATATTAACTGGAGAAAACAGTTCGCCTATTCTTTCTTCTATGCTCTCTCTATAGTTCTGGGGTGTATTCAGCCTAAATTTGAGAAATTGTAAAAGCAAAGTCTGAATGTTGTTTCTCCAAGCATTCTGCTCACATCCACAGTTCAGGCAGGTGCAGTGCATGGTCCTGCCTGCTTGTTTTATAGGTGAAATTCAAATTTTATATCGGGTGGGGAGCTGATTTTAAAAGCCCACATCCATACTACTCAGGATCCCTTCAGAGTCTGTGTTGGTTCCTTTCCTGTTTCTTCCCACTTCCATTCATACTGTACAGACCTGTATCACTAACATCCCCTTCAACACAGAGTGTCATTAGTGGTGCTATGGTTCATCTCTCCATTGTGCATGTGAAGAACGTAGTAAGAGTAAATCTTATATCTATAGAGAGATATCAGTTAGGAAAAACAAACACACACCGTTAACAACCCTCAACAACACATGCAAAATTGTCGCCAAGCTCAATTGTTTGCTAATACACCCACAACTTGGAGCCCTGAGAGCTGCCTGGGAGGGGTGGCTAATCTTCCAAAGGGAAAGGGGGGTTCCCCATGCTAAATTACGCCTTCTCCTCTCATTTGTTAGCTGATTCCATAAAAAAAGTTTGCTATTTATAGGCTACACACGAACCTGAAGTAATACAAACCCTCCCGTGTTTGTTCCCGTTTGCAAAGTGACCGGTGCTGCAGCTTTTGATCGCTTTGCTGTGGGAGCTGCGGAGAGGACGAGCTACAGTCAAAATCCGGGCGTGTGAAGACTTCCAGCTGCTGAGGTTCCGAGCGCAAGGAAACCTGCTTGTCGCACAACCATGTGAGTACCTAGTTTCCACGATCGATTGCCTTATGCGCTGCCAATTTCTTGGCTTCCCTCCTTCCTTTTCTTTACTGTACATGATGCGCTTCAAAAAAAAAAAAAAAAAAAGGAAAGAAAGAAAGAAAGAAAAGAAAAAAAGTGGTTTGTATTTCATATCTATTTGAAAGCTACGGTGAAAGTGCGGAAGTAAGGAGGAAAAGCGTAGGTAGGAGATATGGATGAAAGATACAGCAAGGAGAAGGAAGGCTTGTTAAGCGAATTCCTTGTCCCTACTTAGCTCAGAATTAGAAGCACATGACTGCGCGCCCTCCGTCAAATTCTGCCCTTTCCAAGAGTCTCCTTCACTGCCCAAGGGCGAGCAATACAGTGATAAATAATCTGGCTATTACTAAAAGCACTCAGAATGCGGCGAGGCTGGAGATTTTTGAGATGCTCCAACAAAAGTGACTGGAGGGACAGCTGCCTCGAAATGTGATCTACAGACAGGCAATATTTTCAGCAAAGGAGCTGAATTCACTCTCTTTTAAAAGGGGGATAGAGGGTCCTAGGCAGCCTATTTCCCGTGAGGAGGGGGAAAGTGGAGCTCACAGATTATCCCCTGCTGCTCTTATCCTTTCTAATGCCACTTGCATCCAGCCTAGGCGTTAAATTGCAGGTTGCGCGCGAGGCAGAGACTGGAGACTGAGAAATGCAAATCTGCCTGAGCAGGAAATGGGGCTTTTACTGAGCAAGCATGTTGCTTACAAGGGGTGCAATCAGTTGCCAGAAAATCCTCTTCTGGGGAGCAGGGTGTGTGGCGATGGTTTTCTGCACTTGCACGACCCGGGCTCCCGTCCCTCTTTAGCGTGGCATGAAATTAACAAAGGCGGAGGAGGCTTCGTGCCCGGGGTGTCACCTCTATTCATAAAGGAGAGGGACAGGAGGAGCGAGAAAGCTAAAGAGCGCCGGTGAGTGGCTGCGCGTGCTTCTCGCCTCTGCACGCACAGTTCAGGCACAGAGCGGAGGAGAGCTCGCCTGGGCTCGCTTCTCCTGGTACCAGGCTCCCGGGATGGATGGGTGGCATTTGGCAAGCCGGAGGGTTTGCCATGCCTAGGCGCATAGCTGAGGGGCCAGCGCAGTCCTAGAAAATAGCAGCAGCAACTTGCAGGGGCTCCGCTCGAACTCTGCTGCCTCATGTGGAAAAAGTGACTTCGATCCAGGGCCATTTATAGGCGACAGTAAAGCCTCCTTTTCAGTGCGCGGCAGCCAGCGACAGCAGAGCGAGCGAGCGAGCGAGCGAGGGAGCGAGCTGCCTTCCAGCTCTGTCCCTCCGAAACCCTGATCTGACCTCGCTCGGTTGGGGAAGACGGAAGCCTGCTTTCTGCTGACCCGTTGAATTGGCTGTGGCAGGCCAGGGCACGTAGTCAGAAGAAACTTTTCTCCACCTGCCTTTTAGGTCGCACATATTTACCTTGACAATGCAAGGCATCTGCGTGGCCGAAAGTTGGCCAGGCCCACGAGGCATGTAGCAGATCTCACAAACCGGAAACATTATTTTCTATGAAAGGATAATGGTATTACTTTTTTTTTTCGTGCTGAGGTGCACAGACATTAAATGGGCTGGAAGCATTTGCTGTGATTGATAGTGTCTCACACACCCCTTAGAAATGAAGCAGTAAGGGCTGTCCCTCGCATCTCTTCAACACCAATTTTATTAGAATGGTTAAAAAAGACATCCCAGTGAATATTTATTTTAAGCTGGGGGATGCAGAATGGCAGGCTAAACAAATTTGAAATGAAGGGTCATGTGTTTTTCTTCCCACCCATTAACCATCTTTTCTTTAATTTCCCCACATTCACTAAAAAGGTAAGAGTTAAAGTACACATGAAAAGAAGCAAAGCTATCTCCTCCAAAACAATGATTTGTGATATATAGACCGGAAAAGGATGGGTGGGGAGCCATGGAAGGATACTTGTTCGACCTCATTTCAAAACCTTTCACCTCAAATGCTCTTCCCTACAAAGCCTGAAATCTCACAATTGTCAATTATTCCTTAGTTAACAGCAGAAAGTCAATAAACTCAAATAAACAATCAAATGGTAGCAATCTCTGTTTCCAGGATTATGCTTCAGGCCCTCTGGTGTTACAAAGTATTTGTGACTGTGTCCCAAGCCAACTTGCGTCATCTGTTTCAGGAACTTTACTAAAAAATGCTTCAGACCGTAATTTTACTAAAAAATGCTTGAGACCGTAATCCAGAATTGTGGATTTAGAGGGTTTTTTGGCATTTAAAAATGTTATCTCTGTGCTACAAGTTTACTTCCAGAAATGTAGAAATAGGTTGACCTGTTTTAGTTCATGTAATGATGTGAAGGTTTTAAATCTGGAATAATGCTCTTACCAATAATGCTTCTTACCAAATTAGCTATATTGTTTTGCTTCCACAACTGGAGACCCCACTGCTAATATTCTACAGCCCTGTGATGTTGAAATCCTCTGGAAGAACTGTGATGTTTGAAAACAAATGAGTTAAAAGAAAATGCAAACAATTAACAGTGTTGGTCCACCCCATTTTATTGCTCATCTCTTGATGATTCAATGTCTGATGACTCAGATATGTTCTGCCTCCATTGTAAAGCATTGCATAGAGGTGACACAGGGTGAAATGAAAGTACAATGGGTGATATGAAGGGTTATATACTGCCTCTCTTCAAGAGCCATAATTTCCTTCTAGAATTGACTTATATCAGTCACCTGCTTTAATAGTTTCATACCTTTTCATTCTCAATAACACCTACTGCTTCAGCTCCTCCCATGATGTCCACTGGTATTTTGGGAATTTCTTCTCCTCGTGTAAATAGCAGTTCCAGAGGGAAGTTTTCACTGAGAATGTGATTTATATTATAATCATAGCAGGGAAGAAAAAGTTTAACTTTCTTCCATCTATTGCAGTCCCAATCCTGAACAGACTAGCTACCTACAGCTTTGAAAAGATAAATGCAACATCAAAGAAGTTAAATGTCACACATAGTTTGGTGATCACCACTTCTTTTCCCTGTCCCCCCATCCCCCATGAAAAACCACTAGTGAGTCCCAACATTTCTTAAGTTTAATTTATTCTCTTCAATGGCCCTCATATTACTTGAAAAAATATTGTCCTTGTATTCAGATTGATTGGTGATTGATCCAAATAAATGTTGTACTTCCGTATATTCTTAAAAATCCCATCTCATACTGTTTGGGCCTATTGAAACTGTACTACTGGATTTTCTCAGACACAGAATTTTAAATGTGTTTCCTCCATATGTAGCCACAAAGACTTAACTGGAAGCCAGGTAAAGGCATACACTGAGATGCTGGTGCTATCTCCTCTGTGCTAAGAAGATAGCTCAAAAAGTATATTTTTTGGCACTATATTAGGCATTGCTTTCTTGAACCTTGGGATAGCTCAGCAAACATTTATATTACAGGCCAAAAGTATGTCCATGGAGGGGGAAAACTTTTTTTCTCCGGTACCACAATGCATGCTCTCAATGGTGTACAAAGCTGCAACTTGATGCATTGCTTATTTATTTGGAGCCCATTCTACACAAGAAGTTATGGATCAGTGTTACTGGGAGAAAAAAACTCCTTGCTAATCTCAAGTAAACAAGAGGAAAGGAAAGGCAAATTAAAAGAAACAAGCGAAGAAGCATGGGAATATGTTCAACATTCCATGATCAAACCTTCTCTCTTGTTTGCAAATAATCTGCCACCCATGTCAATCATTCCAGAAAAACACTGGTTGACACCAAAATTTTCTGATGCAAACTATTTAAATGGGCTTAAGAACTACATTGTACTTTTCTGTATAAATGCCATCTCTGCAACTGAGCAGTTTTAGCTTACTTTCCATTACCTGCATGAATATATGAAGAAAGCTTCAGTTGTAGGTGAGAGGGAAATATTTGGCATTTGGACTATTTTTAATTGTAGCTATTTGCAAATAATGGTGTTCAAGGATACAGTTTAACATAGTTTAAACTAAAATCATCATGACATATGTAGAGATGCCCAGAATGGGCATAGTGTACAAAACAGCAACCTTAATTAATTTTCTACATTCCCGTTTTAAATCATTGTATGTGTGTGTATTCATCAGTGTATAATGCAAATGTAGAATCAGCATTATAGAATGTAATTTGATTTTTGTTCCATGCTCTGTCTCATGTAAACAACTTTCAGACATAGCACAAATATCTACAAAATTCTAAAATGTGCTTTTTATGTACCTTGTATCATTTTTATATACTGGCCAAGTGGCAGATGCCCTCAGGGCAGTGTACAACGTCTAATGCCAAACTGATGTGTTTTTAAGTATAGTCAGCAGGAATGTATATACTAACTAACACTGATTGAATGAATATAGCATTATGTATATATTTCTTAAATTAGAAAATGTCTGGAGAAAATTAAAAATTCTTCAGCTTAAAAAGCTTCAAGGAAAATATGTAGTTAACATTACCTAATACATGAAAAGGTTTCACAACCCAATTTTTGATTTGCATTAATGGATAATAGTAGGTACTTTCACACTGGTTCCACAATAATTTCTTAGGGAAACTGTATTAAAACACTGCTATTAAAAAAAATGAAACACAACTTTCAAAGATTAGACCCAACCAAAGATATAGCATATTCAGATGAATTTAAAATAGTTCAAAAGAGTGTTGTTTCATAAAGCGTCTGATCAACAAGAGAAAAAAAAAATCATACCCTTGGTTCCCCCTTTCTCTTAGTTTCTACTTAACTGGGCTTTTAATGTCAATACATTGACATCACAATACAAATGGGGTTCCAAATAAAGTTATAGGGTTCAATGCAATAAAGGCAAAATATTAAAGTATTTAATATGGACTGCACATTTAGATGAAAAGAAGGGGAATCTGTTGAAGTATGCATAAATTTAGATTTTGGCTGTTCTGAACATATCAAATCTACCAACAGTAAGTCTATGTGATAATATGAAGACTTGAATGAATTTTATTTTGGAGATTGATACCTGTATTGTACTACTAGACAGGTTGGTGCTATTTACTTTCTCATCTATTGTTTAGTTATTATTTTAAAAGCTGTTTTTTTACTGCATTATATTGTTTTTCGCGTGCCATCTCTATAACATTATGGCATTATAAATTCCTATCGTATCTTTATATATATATATATTTGGGGGTATGCATGCTTAGGCACAATGCTTTCTTGTGCAGTCGCTTATGCTTTCTTTTATTGTTGCATACCATCTGAATATTTTGTACATGACAAGTAGTATAGAAATATTTTTAAATAAATAAATACAAAAGAAAGTTGTATGTATGCATGAGAGAGAGAGAGAGATAAGATTCCATTGATAGCAACCTTCAACAGTGCTTCCCAGATTGTTGTATGATAGAACATTATAACAATAAAATAATGGTATAATAAAATACATATATAACTCATAAAACAGCAGTAAAACGCTCATTTAAACACTTTAAAGGCCCCATAGACCCGGGAAAGTATCCCAGCACAAACAAGATTCCCAAGGGAGAGAATTCCACATACAGTGTGTCGGGGCTGAAAAGGCTCTTTCCTCCTCTTTACAGGGCTTTTCTTTAATGGGAACCTTGGGATTGGTCTTATTGGTGTGGTTATGGGTAGAGGAAAATATGGTTGTGGGGGCAGTTAATAGGACAGTTAAGGAGAACTGAATTGCATTTAGGTATGTTGTGCCTCTTCCTTCTGGTGTCCCACCACCTCCAAACTGAAAGGATGCTGGTTATCTTACTAGCTTACCCTCTGATTTGTTGCTGGTGTAGAATCCTAAACCAAACCAGGATAAAATTTTTAATTGATTATTTGATTGTGGATGAGAGGGCTGACTGGATACACATAAAGACTTGGCTTGGAGAAATGGAAAAGAGTTAGTCTCCCAGTTGTGTCCATCTGAATATGTGCTGTAACACCAACACAGTGTTGAGGGCCTAAGGGTGGGGGATAGCTGTAGTTTAGGAGTGCCAAACTTTTCACTGCAGGCCTAACTCAGCAAGAGGGGCACCCTAATCTAGCCTATGTTGCTTCTCAGAAATCCTTCAAGCAGAAGGTTTTAGGTTCTGAGCCATACATCTTAGAAGAATCCCCATAAAAGACATCTGCCCACTATCTCCAAACTCAGTTGGAAACAATAGCGTGAATTTCCCTGGTGACTTGTGCCAGTAAAACCTGCTGTTACTGGACGGACAGTCTTCTTCATGCAGGTGTGTTCCAGTGTTGATCTGGTTTGATTTTGTGTGCTGTAGTGTTTTTATTCTTCACTGTTGACTTTATCATTTTTATGCACTGGTTTTATTCATTGTTCTGTTTGTATTTGTGCTGACTGTATTGTACATTGCCCGGAGAACTTGAGTTATTTGGTAGTTTAAAATCGCAAACCAACATGCAATAAACAAATAAGCAAATTTGGGAGCAAGAATTCTTTCAGATATCCAGATTACAAAGCTGCATAAGGCTTTAAAGAGAACCATCAGCACTTTGAACATGCTCAGAAATGTACTGGGAGCCAGTGGAACTCTTTAAGTATTGGCAAGATATTATTTTTATTTATTTGTAGTATTTTTATATTGCTCTTCAGCCAAAATATCTCCTACAGCAGTTTACATTTAACAAATTAGACAAGACAGTTCCTGCCTACAGGCTTACAATCTAAAAAGACATGACACACGAAGTAAAAGGAATGGGGAAGAAGGGGAAATGTATTATTTCAGCAGGGTTGGTAGAATGGCCCTGCTCTTCTTACCTCTCTCAGTATAGTCTGCTGGAATGGTTCATACAAGTAACAGCTAAAAAGAGCGAGCATTCCTGGGAAAAGTCAGCTCAATTTGCTCTCTCTTTTCCATTTATCTTTCTGGAACTATAGTCCACGTTTTAAAATGTTCCCAACATATCAGTTCCCTCAGTAGCAGTTCCACCTAAACTGCAATCCTAATTCTTTAGCAGAAGTATAAACCCACACAAAACAGGTTGAATGTCATCCCTTGGAGTGAACAAGTGACCTAACCACAGAAGTTCCATCTTGTCAGAACTGAGTTTTAGATGATTGACCCTTATCCAGTGATCACTGATTCCAGACACTGATTCAGCACTTTCACTGCCTCACTTGACTCAAATATAAAGAAAAGTTGTTTACAATGTTAAGTACACTGATGATATTTTACCTCAATTTTATATTGCAGTTTTGTATTTTAACAGTTTATAATCCATTAGGCTAATATTTATTATTGGATGCATTAAAATATAATAAGTAAATAAATATAAATTCCCAGATATCCTTCCCAAGGATTTCATGTAAATGTTAAAATGCCACAATGCCAAGAACTATTTTCCCAGTCTCATCTTTTTGAAAGAAGCCCTCCAGGAACGTGTAGAAAACCTGCAACCTGTGCTCCCAGTTCATAATGCTTATCCAGAAGGACATCATGGTTCATGAACTCTGCCAAAAGGTCCAAAAGAATTAGGAGGATCACATTAAACTTGTCTTCCTGGAAGACGTATAGAGAAGGGAACAAAAATGATCAAAAGGCTGGAGCAAATCCCCTATGAGGAGTGCCTACAACAACTGGGAATGTTTTAGGTTAGAAAAAGGGTGAGTAAAGGGAGACATGATAGAGGAGTTTAAAATTATGCATGGTGTGGAGAGGAGAAGAATCTCTCCTCCTATAATACTAGAACTTGGGGTCATCCTCTGAAGTTGACTGGTGGGAGGTGCAGGACAGATAAAAGGAAGTATTTCTTCATACAATATGTAGTTAAACTGTGGAATTCGCTGCCATGAAAAATGGTGATGGCCGCCAATTTCGATGGCTTTAAAAGGGGATTGGACAATTTTATGGGAGAGAAGGATGTCAGTGGCTACTAACCTCGCTGGCTATGGGCTGCCTCCTTTACCAGAGGAAGCCTGCTTGCATATACCAGTTGTTAAGAAGCTTGGGCAAGTGGAGGTTCTTGTACCCATCTTGCCTGAGGGAACCTGTCGGCAGCTGGCTTGTCACTATGTGAAGAGTGCTAGGCTGAATGGACTATTGGTCTGATCCAGCATGACATAAATTCTTACATCAACCCTCCAGATAGTTTATCCAAAATTAGATCTGAGAATGAACTGAAAAGAGCCCATCCAAAAATATTAGAGGGCAATATGCCTTGATCATATCCAGAAATAAAAATTAGGGCAGGGAAGTTTGGGCAAAAAATTAATACATGGATAAATTTGAAAACCTGATTTTAACTCTTCATTATCACTGTATATTTAATGAGATGAAAGATGATTATAGACAGGATTAAACATATATTTCTAAGAGACCAGGGGGGAGACATGTGACAAGATAATCAAAGTAAGTTCACATTACATAGCCCTCAAAAGAGTCTTCAGAACCAGCCAAAGACGTTTTTTTCTCCTGAGGCAAAGCGGCAAATAGTGCCCCAGATCCGAGGCAAAGTGCATAGTACTCAAAGCTGTTTTGGCAGAAAATCCCACAAGTGCCTCTCCATTTTCCTGAAAGTAAATATTTAATAATTAATAAAAGGACAAACTAATTATTGAAATTATTCATTTATTTTTGTTCTACCCAATACCGAATACACTCTGGGAGGTCTCCAACAGTTGCTAAAACAGGACCTTAATGCAATAACACAACTGTAAAATTGTTTACTTAATGCAACATTTAAAAATATGTTAAAAGCTACAGTGATATTCAATACAAACTAGTCAAGTTTAAAGAAATCTGACATGGCTCCCCCTTCAAGCCATTCAGTATCCTTAGTTGTCTTTAAATGCCTCAGCACAGAGGGCTGCCTTAACGTGATACTGAAAGGATGACAGAGTTGGTGCCAGGTGGGTCTCGGTGGGGAGGTAATTCCACAATCAGGGAGTTGCCAATAAGAAAATCCCTTCCTCTTGTGGCTTCTAGCCAAGTCTCTGTCAGAAGTGGCACTTCAGGTGAAAGCTGCATAAGCGGATTGTACGGTCTGGGTAGATTGCAGATGGGAGAGTCATTCCATCAACTGTTGCAGTCTCAAATAATGTAAGACTTTCTAGATTAAAACAAGGGCTTTGAATTGTGCACAGGATCATTTAGACAGCTAATGTAAGCAAACCAGAATTGGTATTATGCATTCAGACCTTCTGATCTGACCATGACAAATAATTGTTACTATTTTTAAAGAGGACAGTGGACTTGGATGCCCAATTAGAATTAGTATATGTTTATGTTAAGAACACCCAGACATAGAGGAAATAAATGCAAAATTATTGACTTTTTTCTCACAAAGGATTTAATTTTCATGTGAAGCTGTAAATATCATATTATAAAAGATCTGTTAAAAGTTCAACATACTAGCTTGTCTCCAGCACAGTTTTCATACTGGAGTCATTCTATTCTTTTCTATGAAACTGAACTGTTACTAGAAAACAATAAAAATACGGGCTAGCAGTAAACATTCACTAAGTACTTTTAAAGGAATTCAATTGCTTTAGTTAATATTACTTCCCACATTATGAATTTAGTTTCTCAGGAGAATGCTTTGTTACACTTATTCTGTTTAATTACATGTAGATAAAGCAAACCTGGGGCAAGAGGGTGGCTCATATGATAGGGTTAATCAGTTCAGTTGGAAGCAAAAAGGCAAACAGTTTTCTGCATTTTTAAAGAGAGGAAGTCCAACAGAACTGAAGAAAACAGACTAAAGCTTAATCCAAGGCATGTTTGCATACAATCGGAAATGCTGCAGTCCATATTAGTAATACTAGTAATACATATTACTACATAGAAAGTCCCATTGAACTCAGGAAAACTTACATATGAATAAATGTGCTGAGGATCATTATAACCTTCTCTTGACAAGATAATGAAGGAGCAGCTACATCAAAGAGATGAGAATTATTTGTGAGGATTGGGTCCATTCCATTTCTGGCTAGACATTCAAAGTATGAGATCACTCTTCAAATGTCTTCAGGTTTCAAATAATATTTTTATCTCCCAAAACCATAAACCAAATTTAGCAAGGCGGGAATGAGACCAATAAAGGTGACAGCAATAAATCTACTGGATTGCATCACTTTGCTGTGCATAGCATAATATATTTGTTGCTGGATTCGGAAATTACTAACCACTGCATTGTCTTAATCTGCACAAAAAATATTTTACATTCATTCCTGGCTTCCAGTGCATTGTACTTTCTGTGCCTCCTTCAGGAAGCAGTCACGATTGCCTCCACTTGCTGCAGGCTCACTGTCAGTGGCAACTGCAGTTGTCAGTGGCAACATCATAGCACTGCAGAACAAGTGAGGTGGAAGAGCCACCTTGCTTGTTTCAAGGCAGCAGGTTGCAGCTGGACATTCCCCATTTAAAACTGATGATCAGCTGAAACAGTAATTTGTAGCATGAGGGGAAACAGGCAAAGTATAATTGCAAAGGAACTGAAAGTGAGGCATATAGGGTATCTCTGTGAAATTTACATTTCATAATAAGCATAACCTACCTTGCAGGTAGGTTGCTGGGTTATGAAGTACACAATAAGCATAACCTATGTTGCTGTGAAGGTAAAATAGAAAGAGTAGAGTTGTGTAAGCTGTCTCGGTTTCCCTTTTGGAAAAAGGCGGGATATAAATATAATAAATAGCATCTCTGAGGCCTATTATGCTGGACACACTGGAAGGTTTCAGACACAGCAGTAAATTATACTTTATTGTTACCTGCATGAGCCTCAGTCTCACATTTCCTGCTCCTTCTGTCATGGGCACAAACAGAAGCTTTTGCTTCTGATTTCAATTAACAAGTTTTTTATGTCTAAATTCTAAGTTAGTTAATCTCATATTTTCCAAATATATTTTTTATAAAATAAAATCCAACATTGTGCAACTGAGTGTCAGCTTGTGCAATTACATTTTCTCCTACTCTCCTCTCTGAAGTCCCTGGAACTCTCTAAAATATGCTCAAGAAGTCCACCCAGTCCTCTAAATATGTTTTTTGAGTGCATGGGGGCTGTGTGGGAAGGAGGATCTCCACTCCAGAGTTCGTCAAACCAAAGCAGTTCCAACAATGAGAAGATTTAATTGGGTCTCACCTTCTGTATTTTCAAAACATAAAACAATGAAGACATTGAGTAAAACAGTAAGTTGCTTGGTTCTTAAGTTACAAGTGACTTCATAAAGTCCTACAACTTTCAGGATTTCCCAGATATCCATCAACTAGGTGGCCATTTCAGAAAGACAAATGTTATTATGATAGCACATCTCTTAAGGACTTCTGAACTATGGCTAGTTGAAACAAGACAAGTTAATTACTATGGTTTCAAGTTGAATTATTTCAGCTAACCATAGTTAACCACAATTTGTCTAGATTTGGACAGAAAGACCTGGTTTGCATGACATTGTACAGCGCATTGCAGGTTATTTAACCCACTAGAGTTGTCATGCACACGGGAGCTACTTCACATATCCATGCCCCATTCAGGGGTTGCTGCATCATGCAAATCCAATGAGTGTGCGTTATGCTAGGTTATGTAAGTGCTTTTTAACCTTCGTATAACCTACACTCACCAGTTTCACACAGCACAACAATGGTGACTGTACACACCCTGCATGTACTGCAGCATGTGGGTGAATTTACCCATGGCAGGCTGTCATGTCATGCAAACCAGCCTAATGTTAAGTTGTGACTAATTGTGGAAGCAAAAACTTTTCTTTCATTCTTTGCTTCTTTTGAATGCAAACTGAAAACCTGGGGTAATTAATGGTTCAAATAGGAACAAGGTGATAAACCCAGAATCCAGCTAAAACCCAACAAACTAAACCAGTGGTCCCCAACCTTCTGGGACATGGGGGGCAGATTAGAGTCATTAAATCAAAATGTAACACAATTATTCACCTACCAATTTAGATCAAAAGTAAACATTCAGAGGTCAATGAAGAAATGTTAATCTGAATGTGGTCCATTTTGGAACAATATTTTACTTTGGAATCCTTTTATCTAACCACACATGCTTACCTAGTCACTGTGGTTTTTGTGGCTTTCTTTTAGCTAGTGCATGACTGTCCAAGTCAAGGTTTGTGACAGATAATCTTAATGTGAAAATGTTCAACTATAAGTCTAGACCTACATTTGGATTTCATCTTGGAAAAAGTTTCTTCACAGATGTGACTGTGAATATGCCTGCACCAAATTTCTTTAGGTTGACAGGTAGATCACAATAGAAATCTAGCAGATTGTTTTTTCTTGTAATTGTCTCTGAGATGATCACTGGTTTGCAACTCAATTAACTCCACCTGAAAAAAAAAACTTACTTGCACCTTTGGTGCTAGTTCAAATGAATTCTAAAACATTCTCATTTCCTTTGCATGCTTATGGCAATCAGTGAATCTGTTCTGGAACTCCACCTGCAATAGGCTAGGTGTTTTGATGTGTGTTTCAACATTGAATTGTAAATCCTTTTCAAATTTTAGTTCATTGCAGCATGAGAAGTTTGAAAAGTTACTTTCATTAACTTGCTTCACAAACGTTTAGTTTTG